CACTCTTGCCTATCAGTCACTGCCCCTTAATTCCTCACGCCTCCAGTCATGTCGACCTGCTCTTCAACCATCCATTTTCCCATCCAGCACCCTTGAGTCTTCAAGCCTGCGAACCATCACGTCTCTGGGCCCTCGGCTGCGAATGCCATTTGATGTGGATAAACACCTTCCTAAAGGATCAGAATATCATTCAACCAATAAACTGTCTCCCGGGCGGGGCCTTCGTGTCATTCTTCTGCCTCGGCGACCTTGTGCCCAAATAACCTCCACCGGTGCTTTAACAACTAGCACATCTATATCTCACCACGGCCAAACCATCATCCAACCGACTGGGCCCACAAACATTCTACAGAATTCACAAGACACTTCAGATTCAACTGTTGTCTCTTGTACTGATGTTATTTCGCCGCACATATCACCAACTGACAGTCTCAAGACCAGTACATTGTCCGGTCTTAGCAATCACGCATCATCTTTAGGAACTCAGCAGGCTTCTGAATCAGGTTTATCCCTCCCTATCCTCGCTGAGAGCTGCTATAATCTTACTTTGGCAACCGCTCCTTCAGCTATAATCTCAGGAAGCAGCACGCTTCGCCATTCTTCTACCACACCAGCTCTGTTGGCCGAGGTTCGCCTTCGTGAATGCGCCCCTATGAGTCCCGGTGCTCGAGTGGGCCTACGTGGTCGGTCCTGGCGCCCGGAGTTGCATTTGCCTGATTCGGAGCCTGGTGCTACCATTACCTTGAAGAATAAAACCTGTTCCACCATAGCCAATAAGGGCTGGGTCGTGGAGAATCTCTCGCCTCGCAAAAACTGGCCAAAATAGAGTTTGTCAATTATTTTCATTATAAGTTTTATTTACTTAATCCTTCCTTTAATGACTACTTGTTTTTAGGCATAAAAGTCAACAAAATGGTACTCTTTCACCAAGCAAAATTAGTTTGGCCTCGAATTCGCAACTTTTTTCTGTTTTTTTTTGGATAGGCTTGGAAGAACATACCCTGTTTTTAGTCCTCCGCCATTGTTACCTTGTATTGTTCCAGCATCGGACTGTTGCCTGGGTAAATTCCCAGAAGCTTTGCCAATATTGCAAGGGATCGACCCCATCCTAAGCACCAAACTACAGCTCTTCAAAGCTACAATTAGAGTCGATCCTAGTGACTTACTTTCTGTTGAACTTCGAATGATTGTTTTATTTACTAGGCTTACTAAGATTTAGGCGAAACATCTGAGAAAAAAACGAATCATTGCTATATTGTTGGAAATATACAGGATACTAAGGACACATCTTGAAAATGTGACTTAGCATGCTGGCTGTGCTGATTAAACAATGGGGCGAATTTTTAGTCGCTGTCCATTCTGTAAGAACGCATTACGAGGCGAAGTTTAATATGATAAGGGCCTGGCCTTCCCTGTGAACCGAAGGTACTATTGTCATTATAGTGGAGTCCCGCTGGGGATAATGGAGTGACCTAGGCGAGGTCGAAACTGCAGTCCACCCTAGATAGAAATATCCTATGGACAGCCAGGCTAAGTTAAACACGATGCCTATTCATGTCATTGGGAAAGAATTTAAACTATTAGTCCTACATCATTGTATGAAGTTTTAATGCAAAATATTAATTTAATTCAAAACTGGCTTATATTTAAAGTTAAACTACTAACGGCTGCAAATAAGACTGTTAATAGCGAC